TTTTCTTTTGATATTTCAGTGGTTATAAGAAACCAATTCCTTAATGTTAAGTTGTCTTTTTTATAGTTGTATCTAAAACTTTGTCCTGATTCTGTTCCCAAGACAAATTCCTGGCCCTATATATTTACTGTATTAGATGCTTGTATTCTATACAGTTTCTGGAAGATTTCATAAATGGAGCTGAAGTTTCACCGCTTTTGGACTGCATTCGGCTGACTGCAGGACCCTTGCATGCTCTGGCAGCTGCAACCAGGCCAGCACGAGCTGGTCCTGTTCCAGGGGTTGCAGCTGCTCTGTCTTCTATTCCTAAACAGACTGGTGGCTATATATCCTCACAGGGACTTCTGCTTGGTAATTCAACTACTAATGTTGGTCAGCCTACATCTGGTCCTGGGGCAAACACTGTCTTGCCTACTGCTAGTGGTCTCACTAACCAACAAACCCTTTCAATGTTAGCTGCTGCTGGGCGTGGTGGCCCGGGCATTGTTCCAAGTTCACTTTTGCCCATTGATGTCTCTGTTGTGCTCCGTGGTCCGTATTGGATACGAATCATGTACAGGAAACTATTTGCAATTGACATGCGTTGCTTTGCCGGAGATCAGGTGTGGTTGCAGCCGGCAACACCACCTAAAGAGGGTCCTCTTTCTGGAGGGTCATTGCCATGCCCCCAGTTTCGGCCTTTTATCATGGAACATGTTGCTCAGGAGTTGAATGGATTGGATCCTAGTTTCACTGGACAACAGGCAGGTGGGCTGGCAAATTCAAATAATCCAAACCCTAGTTCAGGATCCCAGATGATGGCTGCAAATGGAAATAGAATAAACCTGCCAATTTCTGCTGCAATGTCTAGGACAGGAAACCAAGTAGCTAGTTTAAACCGTGTGGGAAATGCTTTAGCAGGCTCTTCAAACTTAGCTATGATGACATCAGCTGTCTCTCTGCGGAGGCCACCTGGAACAGTTGTCCCAGCACACGTCAGAGGCGAGCTGAACACAGCCATTATTGGTCTTGGTGATGATGGAGGATATGGAGGTGGTTGGGTTCCTCTAGTTGCTCTTAAGAAGGTTTTGAGAGGTGTTCTCAAGTATCTTGGAGTGCTATGGCTTTTTGCCCAGTTACCCAATCTTTTGAAAGAGATCCTAGGATCTATTTTGAAGGAAAATGAAGGTGCACTTTTAAATTTGGACCTTGAGCAGCCAGCCTTGCGTTTTTTTGTTGGGTAAGTACTTATTCCCCTCCTCTTCCTCTCTCTCTCTCTCTCTATGCTACTCCACTTCTTTTGTTTCTAGAATTTTTGTATTTAAATACCTCTGCTATAATTTTTGCATTCTTTCTTGATACAAGGATTTCCTTTTCCATATGTTTACCCTTCCTGAGGGAAATGATTGCAGCATGATATTGCCAAGTTGGTGCTTGATTGTATGCCTCATTTTCTTATTTCACTGTTTGTTTCATTGCATTGTTTCCCTGGGTAATTTAGCCGGGTAAATTCTTGCAACAATAATTTAGAATTATTGAATTTTTATTTGGATGTAAAATAAAATGCCTTCAACCAATTGTTCTTATTTTTATATCTTTTATGATACATCAAATTGATTTTACTATGTTAATGAACATTATGCATATTGATACTTTATGACTTATTAGTTGACAAAAGGAAAAAAAGTTGATTGCGTTTTGTTCTCTTCAGTATTATGAGAGTTCAATTTTAGACCCCCTTAATTTCAGTTGGAACAATATCTCCGGTTTAGAAGTTGACGCAAAATATTAAATCCCCCTCCCCTCCCCTCCCGTACATAAGCTGTTGGAAGTGGCTATTTTTGCTAATGGACCATTTTTGTCAGACTGTCATCGAAACTAGAAATTGGGTGGTGCTTCCCTACGGTTTCCCTTTCTTTATTATTTGTACCTGTACTGTCTAAGCTTTAGCTTTATAATTGTAGTTAGAGTGGGATACAGTGATGACCTACTTCATAACTAAGGTTCTACACATTCAATATTACAAGAGTAAGAAATCAAATGTAAAGCCATGTGAGCAAAAACAGTTGTTTGGGGGGCGGGGGGGATTGCTTATATACGGAAACTACAGGGTAACGTAGCAATTGTAACCAAAGTCATATTTGGTGAAACTAGGTCTAAAATTTTAACTAAGCTAAAAAATGAAAACAGCTAGCGTCTTCTCGGGCTCCTAAATATTTGCTATTTTTATTCCAGTTATTAAACACACTAAACTGAAATGCTGTCTTTTCATCCTTCTGCAGAGGATATGTATTTGCTGTTAGTGTCCACAGAGTCCAGCTTCTTCTTCAGGTATTAAGTGTAAAACGATTTCACCAACAGCAACAGCAACAGCAGCAAAATTCAAATCCTGCACCAGAGGAATTAAGTCAATCTGAAATAAGTGAAATATGTGACTACTTTAGCCGTCGGGTGGCATCAGAACCCTATGACGCCTCTCGTGTTGCATCATTCATAACTATGCTCACTTTACCGGTATCAGTACTGAGAGAATTCTTGAAATTAATTGCTTGGAAAAAAGGATTATCCCAGGCACAAGTTGGAGATGTTGTGTCAGCTCAAAAGCCACGGATTGAGTTATGTCTTGAAAATCATTCTGGGTTGAATGTGGATGAGAACTCAGAGAGCTCATCTACATTCAGAAGCAACATCCATTATGATCGTCTGCATAATTCTGTTGATTTTGCGCTTACTGTTGTCCTTGATTCTGCTCACATCCCTCATGTCAATGCTGCTGGTGGTGCCGCATGGTTGCCTTACTGTGTTTCGGTAAGATTGAGATATTCATTTGGGGAAAGTCCTAATGTATCATTTCTTGGCATGAATGGTAGCCATGGTGGTAGGGCCTGTTGGTTGCGTGTTGATGATTGGGAGAAATGCAAACAGAGGGTGGCACGAATAGTGGAGGTTAATGGGAGCTCAGCAACGGATGTAAGTCAAGGTAGGTTGAAGCTGGTCGCTGATAGTGTGCAAAGAAATCTGCATATGTGCATTCAAGGGCTAAGAGATGGTAGTGGGGTAACATCCAGCTCTGGTGCAACGTGATTGTTTTGTTAATAGCAGCAGTATGTTGGGTTAGTGCTGTCAATTTTGCAATTTGGTTTACCATAATGTGAAATGGTGCCATGCTGAATTTAAGCATGCCCCCATCCCAGCACGTCTCTTCTGCTCAGGTTATGCAGTTCTATTCAAGAAGAGCTTTGGTGTAACGAAGAAAGTGCACAGGTGATTACAGATATTTTTGATAAAACTATTTTTGATACTCAAGCTTAGATTTGCAGGCACCAATTTCAGATTACTAACCAAATATATATAACGAGTATTCGACGTTTCTCAGATCATTAATTAGGTTGTACAATATCTTTGCTGATAGTGTAGTATCATGGTATAACTTCTTGGCTGGTGGCTGTTGTACAGATGACATCAAATGAATAGATTTAGTAAAGGAAATTTGTTACGCTCAACCCCTATTTACAATGAACACGTCCAAGTTATTGAAAGATCTTGCTGCGCATTTAATTTTGCATTCAATCATTCATCTTGTCCTTGGCGATGCGCTCTTTTTCAACCGCGATTGCTTTAATGTAATTCGTAATAACTCATTTGCCAGGTTCTTATTTGTGTTACGTGCATGTTATTCTTACCATTGAAACAGCTGCAAGGGAAATTATTTGAATTTTGAATTCAATTATTTGGACACAAGTGATTTTGACTGTTCAAAAATACTATTTTCGCATTATTTGAAAATATTTCTAATTTAGAAAAAATCGTGAAGAAAATTTAGCAATGTTGAAGGGTCTATACATTGTTTGTGTGAGGAGAAATTCAGATTAAGAAAACGAAGATAAAATAAAGAATGAAGTTAACGATGGAGAAATGGTATAGAAAGAAATGAGAAATAAAGAAAAAGTAATTATAACTAAAATTACGGTGATTTTGTTATTTTACCGTTTTCATACTCTTTTCCCTTGTATGCAAACTGAAGAGAGACCAAGTTATGTAGGCACCTACACGTTTTTATTCTCTATAATTTATCAGCCAGACCAAATTGAGAGAAATGCCTAATGATTTATTTTTTTCTTTTTCCCATCTTCTCGTCCTTCACCCTCTGCGTTACCAAATGAAGTATCCAATTTATAAATTTGATATGAATTAAAATTTAAATTCAAATTTAGTTAAATTGTATTTTTAATCTTACTATTTTTTATTACATTATTTTAATTTCTTTATTTTAAAATAGAAATATTTTTTTTTATTTTAAAAATACAAAACTATGATTCTATTATCAATTGATTTTTATTGATTATTGAATTTTGACGTTCAATAATATGATATTTAATGCTGTGATATATAAAAATAAAAATTAAAAATAATATATAAAATATTTTTATTTTTATCTATTTAAACACCTAATTGTATTTATATCATTGATAAATTTTATTTACAAGTTTTTTTTATTGTTTTTATCAATCATGTTACTAAATATTATATTATTTATGCATGAATAAATATTAAAATTTAATAATTAATAAATATTAACTTGATAGAAAAACTAAAATTTTATATTTTAAAATTAAAAAAATTAAATGTCTTTATTTTAAAATAGAAAGACAAATAAAAAACCAAAAATATAAGTTATTCTTTTAAGTGTGTTTGGTTGAGTTAAAATTGAGCTTAACATACGCTTCATCTATGTAGCGTTGTTTAAAAAAAACAAAAGTATATGAATTTAATATATGGAGTGGATTATCGTATATAGTGGTAATGGTAAACCACTCCACTCCTGTTAGATTGACAAGCATTGTTGTGCTGATTGAAGGGATGAAGAATGTAATGCAGCAATCGAAATATCCGCGAAGGGAAGAGATAACTGATTCATAATTTAGACGATGAGGAGGTTGGAACACGGTGAGTGGTGAGTGGTGTTATGTAATGGGGTATGCATCAAGAAAACAACATTTTAATGTAACGAGCAAAGTGAATTTGTTAAAGTTGAAAGGATAGAAGCATGAGCATGGCATGATATATTAAAAGCATAGTGAGGATTTAAATAATGAAAGCGAGAAAGGCAAAAATACTAAACAGTTCTTAGAGAAGAATGAAATTTAATTTGATAGAGTGTCCTTAGAAGTAGACACCTCCGTCTCCTGCTTCTCCTGAGAGTCGTCTCCATCTGCAGAATCAGGTTCCTTCTTAAGCTCCGACTCAAACTCCTTCGCAGCCTACAACGTTCACAAAATAGAATAAATAACCTTAAAAGCAGCAATACGATTATAGTAAAGAAAGAGATGAAAAACCTGTTGGAAGCTCTTGACGGTTTTGCCGATGCTGCGGCCCACTTCAGGCAATTTCTTGGGCCCAAAAACGAGGGCTGCCACGCCGGCAATGACGACGAGTTCCGGCATCCCCAATCCAAACAAGGCCCTGCAAGTGAGACCTTTGGGTTTGGGGGCCTTCAGCGATACCCTTGCCCTCGCTCTCACTGTTGCACAATTCAACGATTTGGGGCTACACAAATAAGAAGAAGAAGAGGAAGCGAGGCCAATACCGCCTTTTCTTGCTGTTGGGATTGAACTCCAAATCGATACGCAGCTCATCATCATCGTCTCCATCTCCCACTCTTTCTCTCTCTCCGCTCTGTGGCTAAGATTTTTAGATTTTTAGATTTTTTTTAATTAGATGATAACCTAACAAGACTTTACCCAAAAACAAAAACCACTACTAACTACACCGCCAACATTGACTATGCTCTATGGGTATTTATGGAAACACAATAAAATTAATAGATAATCACTTATACACCGTCAGCCAATCATATCTTTTAACAGTGTCATGTCAGTTGCTTATTTAATAAAATAATAATAAAATAAAATAATTTAAAAGATATAATTCGTTGTTAGTGTATAAATTCACTGAACAGTGTATGAATAATTAACTCTAAAATTAAACCCTCCTCCTTTTATATATATAGCCAGGATTTTATTCCTCAAACGTAAAATTTTATTCACCCTACAAATGTTCAAGAGTACTCTTACAAGCAGTATTTTTTTTTTGTTCGTCCCTAAAGAATCCACCGTCGGTAACAGTGACTAATTTCCTCGTTACGTTGAAGGCACCTCAAAGAGTAGGATAGTTGGTCCCAAGATTTAACGCGACTGCATACACAAGTAGTATTACTTTTCTATTCCTCCAAAAGAAAAAAGAATATATAAATTCTATATTGTTTTTAAAGTCTAATTAGGTTATAATAATTTCAAAAATAAAGGTGAAATCTTTTTTTAATAATTTTTTTAAAGTTTATTTGACTCAATAATTTGGTGAATCAAATTAAATTAAACTAAACTTTTAATTTTAAGACCTAAAAAAGATCAATTAAATTAAATTGATGGGTCAAATAAGTTAAATAAAATGATAAAAAAGCTAATCAGAAAGTTACTAAACTTATTTCATTCAATCATAAAAATACATGAGAAAGTAACAATAACAAAATGAATTAATTTGATTCAATCATGTATATGGAATAAAAAAAACACAAGTCAAAAGATTTATCTAGCTGGTTCAAATTAAAGAACTTATTTCAACAATACTATTAAAATCACAAAAATCAGTTTAATGGTGAAAATTGAAATAATATATACAAAGTGTTAAATTTAAATTTTAATGTCGTAATTGTAATTCTTATTAATAAAAAATATCGTTGAACATTATTTAGTCTTTCCTGTATAATTTGATATATATATAAAGAATTATTTTTGATGATCTATTTTTCATTTAAATTATAAAATAAAGAGGAACTTCGAAGGACATTTATACGGTGTATAAATTATAAACATATTTCTCATTATTAAGTTTTATTTAAGAATTGTATATTCATACATCCGTAAACTCTTTTGTTTCTTTCTTTTTTTTTAAATAAGTTCCTACACTATAAAATTTGTAATCGAATGCTTAATTTTTTTTTTAATTAAGTCTTTGGTGTCTAAAAGAAATAAAGAATATTATGTTAAGGTTAACTGTTTGTAAATAAATTATCTTCCTAAGGACTTAATCACAAAATTTGAAAAAAAAAATTAAAGACTCAATTATAATTTTTTTATAAACTAACCTATTTAAAAAAAGAGTTAATCACCTGTACACTGCAAGTATAAATTTTTTTACACGGGCAATCTATCAGAATCGTTAATAGTGCCTTTTTTTTATTTTAATTTAATTAAATGAGCAGATAAAAAGATACTATTAACAGCTCTGATTAACATTGTATAGGTGATTAACTCTTAAAAAAATAACCTAAAAAATTGGTAATTACATGTTTCGATAAAATATTTGATTATCTCAATAAAAATTATGTTTTTAGAGCATGTAAGAATCTTAAATATTAAAGATGTCATTATTATGTGTAAATAAGATTAGGTAGAAATCCTTATCATATCATTATAGGATATCATAGAAAAGATGAAATGAATATGGTGTCATAAATAAAGTTAAAAGAATGTTATTATCTAAAATTTATAGTTATACATATGATAAAACTTTGTTAAAACTTTGTTAGTTACAATAAAAAGTTATAAATAAAATTAGATATATGTTGTATAATGGAGGATTATATTATAGTTCAAGAGAGATCTGACCGTGAAAAATTATTCTTTAGCTTAATTTTCATTCTTTTCTTTAATCAATTAATCTTGATTTTTAAAATCCTCAATTCTTCCATTTTCTCAAAGCATCGAATTTTCCAATTAAGTTCTCAATCACCTCTTTTGCCCACACATAATTTTTTTTGTTTTTAAGCCAGATCTAATAAAACAAACATAAAAAATGAATATTACATCCTACGAAACACTGTTCCAGCTGCATCCGCCGTCACAAACGGGTGTAAACCCTCAGGCATGGTATCCAAAACTACTAGATCAACACCACAATTTGGCCCTAATTTTGACAAAAAATCAGCACTTTGGTTTCCTTCTCGAAGAGAATGGCAAAAACAAACACTCCAAGATTGTTGCAGTAACTCCTTAATGTGAGCAATGATAGGAGTATACTTATGCAACACATCCAATGGTCCCAACACCAAATTGACTGCCAGTAACGAATCAGAAACACAAAGTATATTGCAAAAGTTAGCTCTCCACGCCAACTTCATACCATGTAGGATAGCTAATAACTCCGCTTTGAGATTGTCCCCAACTCCAGCATCCCCATAAAAACCCATAAGCCAACGACCAAAGTTGTCTCTACATAAACCTCCATAACCCGTCAGACCCGGGCTACCAAGCGCATTGCCATCCACATGCACCGTGACTTGCCCTTGGCTAGCTTGTAAGCATGTAACGTGACGCTCCTGTCGAGCCACCCTTTCCTGTGGTCCCCATAACGTTCTAAACAGAGATGACATAGCCTGAATACAACCAACCAAAATTTTGTAAGGAAAATGATGAAAACTCAATATTTTTTTTATAACCATATTATTAGTTTAAGACTTAAATATAAAATTTTATTTAAAAAAAGTGAGTTTAATCCATTCAAAATGATGATTTGTTGGTATAAAACTTAACTCTAATAATGCATTTGAAATAATAATTCTTTTTTTGTGTATAAATAAATCTCTCATGTCTTGAGAGAAAGGGAATTGACATAATAATTCTATATTTGATTCTCGTTTGTAGTAAAATAATATTTGATTATCAGAAGTTACGTTCTACAAACACAAATTAGTCTTTAATTATCAACTTTATAATATTGTATATACCATATTAATAAATAAAAAATAATGCATGTCTTTTTCTTTTTCGTCGGGATTGAGGTAATTTCTAGTGAGTGTACACTTTCTTGTACTCTTGATATTTGTAAACATTTACTCTACATTGAAATAAAAGTTGAAGTTTTCATCTTATTTCAATAACCCTTTTCATTCTTGTGCAAAATTTCCATTATTTAGTCTCTTCAACTTTGTAAGGATTTAAATTATTTCATACCTTACATTTATCATTATCTTGTATAAGATCATGAACGTCGTCGCTATTTTCTTCGTTGGATAAGGGAATATGGAAAGAGAACATTGTAAGTTCAAACTTGTACATTCACAAATCACAATTCATGTCTTGTACTTTAAGCAACTAAACTTATTTGAGAGGCTAAGGGAACATATTTTTAGCCTCCACAATTTCTGGGGAGCATAACATTTCAATTCGTATGAATTTTTTGAAAACAAATCACAATTCATGTCACCTGTGACGTAGATACTGCGGTATGATTGCATTGTTGAAACTTGAAAGAGTTGGAATGTATTGGACGCATTAACAACAGTGTTTAAAGAAAGCATCACGGTGAAAGAAAGGGATGTGTAACTAACGTTCCATCGTAGCAGTAGATGATTGATTCTATTGACATACAGAGTATCAAATTAATTGATTGTTGAATTGAAAGCAAATGTTATCCAATTTGGATACTGCCACTAAGCGTGACAAGAACTCAAATAAATTAAGAAAACAATATCCAATTTGGATAATAAGCCTAACTCTACCAACACTCTGACCCCATCATATCTAACTAACTAATCTAGGTTATACATCAGCCATGTATTAAGATTTGAAGGGGTCCACACAAAAATAAATAGAAGAAAAATAGGATTGTCCAGTAGAATTAGAATGTGCTCAATAAGATTCACATACATCAAATTGACTTACAAGTAGTCAACAAGAATTTGCTCCTACTAACAACTAGCAGAAACAAGAGTTGTATGAAAGCATAATGTTATTGTTATTGGTCTCCATTAGAAGGAGGTGCACGTGAATCTACACGACCACGAATCCGCTTCTGAAGATGTTCCAAACTAGCCACTCTATGCAGGGAAGTTTTGTTGTCACCTACCACTGCTGCAACGTTATGCTGCACACTTTCAATTGAAGAAATGCATCCCAACCCATTATTACTAGAAGTGGGTTCACAAAGGTGGTGATTTGGGTCTTCTTGCACAGAAACGGCCGCATCAGCTGATGTCTCAGAAGGACTTTCATCAAACAGCTGCATTCCCATAGATGACATCTCAGTCATGGCATGAAACATTGGGTTCAACCCAGTAATTCTTTTGAGTGTCTCTTCAGCCATCTTCACCTACAAAAGAAAGCATGGAAGAAAATGATACACATGTCAAATCATTGTCAATACACATGAACAAATATTAAGGTATGAACAAGTCTAAGAGTGTGTTTAGGTAAATTTCTCCACAAGTATTTTTAGGAGAGAAAAATATGAAAATAAAAATTGAATTAAGTTTTTCCATAAATTGAAATTAGCTTATACATGAGTTAACTTGTAAAAAGCTTTCTTATATTAGCTTTTTCAAAATTTTATTTTTAACTCCATGCATAAGCTAGTTTTAATTATTTATGAAGAAAACATTGTTAAATCATTATGAATACTCATGAACAAATATTACAGTATGAACAATTATAAATCTTCTTAACATTGCCCTAATAATCTTCCTACTAGTTTTGCATAGCAAGTATTGAATGTTTCTCATGATTTCAATACATTTTCTAATACACTCTTTTAAATACATACTTTATTATTGGATGAAATTTATTGAAAATCTATAACTCATTATTTTTATTATATCATAAGTGGAAGATATTTATCAATTTTGTCAATGATTAATTTTTTTTTTGGGAATTGATCATTTTTAGTGGAGTCTTTCTTTTAAACCACGTTTCTTTTCTTATTCACAAGACTTTGAAGACTTTGTCCAGAGGATTCGAATCCAGTTCCACTCCAACTAATGTAACATTAGTATATACTTAAATCAAAGATTTACCTTTGCTCTTAATGTTTCAACATCAGCTTTCAGTACTCTGTTGTCAACTGCAGCATCACCGTATTTCTGGCTCACATCCGTTAAGCGCTTTAACAGTGAAGAATTTTCACCTCTTAATTGTGAGACCTAAGATAGAATATTAGGTCAGAAAATATACAATTTTTTGAGGAAACTATTATGGATACAGAAAAAAGAAATAAGCACACCTGTGTCTCCAGCTCAGTTAAATGAGCCTGTTTTCTTCGTCTTGAGCGTCTAGCAGACTCCCTATTAGAAAGCATCCTGAAAGATAAATTTGTTAGGTTTAAATTGAACAAGGCAGAATTTGTACCATAACTAAACAAAATGAATGTTTTCCAATAAAGAAAGAATCAGTTTAGGAAGAAACAATAAAATCCAGATTCATTATGCTCAACCACTAAAACAAAAATGATCGGATAAAATATGAAGAGCACAATTGCTTTAAGAGTAACTGTAATGCTTATGCAACCTTTCGTCATTATAGTACATATGAATTTGGTTTGAGCTTGACATAAAAAAGTCTACTTGAACTAAAGGCCCTTGCACTCTTGCAGCTACATCAGATGTTTGAAAAATAATTTCTGAAATTTATAGTGTAAGTCACATTATTTCTCTTTAAAGATCTAGTATGATACTGGAAGCAGTGTGTCTGGTAGGCCAAACTTTTTGATTTAATTATCACGACATGATATGCAACCTTTCTTCATAATAGTACTGATGAATTTGCATTTGAGCCTAACATATAAAATTTCAACTCTAACTGAGCTGAACGTCCTTGCATTTACATCAAAAGTTTTTGCACAATTTATGAAAACAATAGTGTAAGCCACACATTATTTCACTTTAAAGATCTACTATGATACTGGAAGCAGTTTGTCTGGCAGACCAAACATTTGGTCCATTTATCAGGACATTATATTACAATCAATTTCCGGAGACGAGAAACATTAACGTTTTCTATGCTAAACATAGTAATTTCTGAGACTATTGTTACCTCCTTACTCGTTTTGCATCAAGAGGGTTCATGTTTTCACTCATATTAATCTCTCCATCTGCTTCCTCATCATCTGATAGCTCTCTTGATGATCCACTTATTGTTGGCCTCATTGCAACAGCAGGTTTCTTTTGCATGGAAGGTGAGGAAGGAGCCCCGGTTGGTGCTTTGACATCTATATTTTGTAATTTAGATGGATCACTTCCGCAAGGGCCAGATCCTACGCAGCAAATACAAAGACAGTGACAGATGTAGTAAATATTATAGTTCAATAAGTGTTAGGAGAGAAAAAACTACACGTCTAAAGCATTCTAAAGGAAACAAAATTGTCTCCCTAGATTTCTCATTAACCCTACTCTTGCAATATCAAGTAGTCAATACTTTATTTCACATTTCACATTCACCCTCATTCTACGCTTTGAGCTGTATTATCATGGAAGTCCCCTTAAAAGGTGACCTACTTCCGCAATGAACCTTCCATGTTTTCATATATACATGCATAAAATTAAAAAATCATAAACACATCCAAAGTAGTAATATGTTAATTCTAACCTTTTAAGGTAGCCTGCAAATCAACTTCAGAAGTACTGTCAGGATTTTGAGATTTGCCCAACGATCCCTATTGCCATGAGCAGAAGAAAACATTAGATACTGGTTCAATTCCAAGGAAAAAGAGGTGACAGAAATGGGGGATTGGTAACCTACTATTTAAACAAGGAAATAAGTTATAGATCATGCATAGTAAATCCAAGATTGAGAAACAGAAAAGCCATATAAGATAGGTGGAGTGCAGGCATCACATAAATGAAAGTACTTCAATATTTCAAAGTACATGGAAAGAATGGAATTGAAGCAAAATATCAATTTGGGAATAAGAATGGGAAAAGTTTCCGTGAGAACCGCCACTAGAAGGTTAATTAATGAAGTTAACCACTGGTCCAGAACCACCAAGTTTAACTATTAAGTCATAATTTTCCATTTACGAAACTTGCGTGATATGAAGCAAGTTGAATTTAACCATTAGTTGAAAGAGTCTCAAATCTTCTAGCGACATTAACGTACCCGAGTGAAAGCAACGGCTGCACATGCAAGATTAAGCTTGGTCTTGAGAATAGCTTGGTAGTCATCGGAATCAACGATGTCCATGTTTGTGAGTTTAACATCGGAAGA